GGCAATGCCGGGCGCTGCCCGGCGCTGCTCGGCGGGAGCGATTTTTAGATTCCCGCCACGCTCTACGTGTTGACCAAAAAGGAAGCTGGAAAGGATCCGGTACAACGATGGCAGTGGCCCTACGCATAACCAATCATTTTGCGTGTGTAATTTTATTTTGCAGCTCATTGGCTGATCGGAGCAAAAAGCGCTTGCGAAGTCCTCTTTGGATGCGGGCGATGCTGAAGTTGCCTTCACCACGAAACAGTTTTTCCGACGTGGCAAGCCTTTCCGTGTTAAAACGTGAACAGTGCGACAGCGAATCGAAAGACATCGAAGGTGAAGCTGCCGAGTTTTCTGTTGTGAGGGGTGTGCGCGTGAATGTGACCATTTAGGTTGAGTCTGAAGATTGGCTGAGTGAGTTGTTGGGAGGACTTGGCTACATTTCTGCCGTTTTAAATTTGAGAGGTGTAAGTCAGAGATGTTGTCTTCCTGCGCGTGATGCGATGCCTTGGAAAGCATCTGACATGAAGGCCCACGAAAGAGCTGATCATTTTGTTGTTGAGTTGCCCAGGATACTGGAAGTTCTTCACCGGCGCTTCGCTTTGAGGCAGGACCTGTCTGTCATTGTTTTTCAGTAGTGGAGTGCACGCAGCAAGACAAATCACCGCTGTCGGTACTAAATGTATAGAATCAATGATCTTGCAATGATAATATGTTGCAGATGACATTCAGCACATCGTAGTAGACGCAATTCTTGAAGCAAATGCCAAAACCCAGCATGGGCCCACGAGGCCACGCCTCGACAAGAGGTGGGATCCCAAGCGCGTATTGCTTAATCTTGAACATTCTTGAGCATTCTCATGGCTGCAAGGCTTTCATGGGTGCACTAAGTTCTACCCGGAAGGCTGGACCGCAATGCATGTCGTTTGGAACTGTTAAGCAGCGCTTTTCTACACGGAAAGCCTGCATCTTATACGCCCCGTCTTGGGGCATAGATCCCTAACCTCATGAGAGAAATTGGGGTGCCATTTGGCAGCAAGCAGACAGAGAGCACTTGATTAAATCCAATCCATCTTCCCATTCACTTTAACAAGAGTTGCTTCAAGAAAAGCACCCACAACTGTGGGCTTAACCATCTCAATTTCGAGGTGCCACAGCCTCGCGCCGATGCTCAACCTAGAGAGTGTCGTCGGGCTCAATCTGAGCGGCCCGAACGACCACAGGTGCGTGGCTAGCTCATAATTTCAATGTGAAAACCGATAGATGTAAAATGCTATTTCGACTTGGAGGGGATGTCAAGTGATAATCTGTCTCCTGGCAGGAAGTGAGCCCTTCCTTGCCAGATATTTGGGCCGACCTGCTCAGCATTGAGTGCTTGTGCAATGCGATCTACAGTACAACTTTTAAATGGATATCAGATGTGGGACCGCGTGAACTTTTAGCAACAGTACCTGCTTTTGAGCGGCGGATAGCAATTGTTTGCTTCTGCACAGGCTTCGTGGGATGTGCTCATGCTCTGTGCCCCCTTCATCTTGCTGAGTAATCTTATCAGGTAACGAGATGGGTGGACTACGCGAGCAAGTCTTGAACCCAGCTGTTTTACCGGGCAGGCAATGAACTCCCAGGCTTCCAGTCGCAAAAAGCGCCGACATGGCACTGCCCTGGCTGAAAAAGAGGTATGGTGTTGGATATGTTCTGTCCGATGGCTCCATTGGAGTGCATTTCAACGATTCTACTAAAATTGTCCTGGCCTGGGGCTAAGCAGTGAGGAGCGTTGTGTCAATCTGGCAGTCAGTGACATCTCTGCATGTTGAGGTCCCAAGTGGCTCGCACTTTGACTATGTGACGTCCACGCCTTGTTACCGCGCACCCGATGGTTCTTTTGCATTTCTATGTGCACCGCCAATGAGTGGTCTGATGTCCACCGGAGTTTCCAGCCATTGCTTTCCAGTCTAGACCGGGTCCTCGGTGTGAGGGGGACCTTCACCACATACAATTCTTGAATGCATCCAGTCTCCCAACAGGGCAATGTCAATCACAGGCAAAACGGAACGTGTAAAGGTTGTGCATGTAAGGTACAGCAAAGAGCTTTGTTTCTGCCACGACTCCGGCCGTTTTGCCAGCAAAATGCTGTGCATCGAAGTATGCAATGATGCGTGAATGGAACTTGATCTTGGCAAAACTGCTCACTCCTGTTCAAATTTGCCACTGCCTGAGTGTACACTATTGCCTTGCAGCAGAAGAAACAATCTCCAGCATGGGATTCCATAGGTCTCAGCAGCGATGTCGATAGCTGGGTTGGCGGGAGAACGTCAAACAGAGGCCTCTAATAAGTCTGTGACTGCACAGGAGACATCAGGAGACAGGAGCTGTAAGCAGCATACCCTTGACCTCACATCTGGAAGACGTGCAGAAGCATTGATGAGAGCAACGACAGGAAACCATTGACAGGTGTTCCAGGTCCCGCATGTCCACAAATTTGCACTGAAGCATGCTTCCGAGGCGCAGAACACAAGAAAAGGCAGAAGAGCGGACAACCTACAACTGGGAGGCGTATCCCGAGGTCCGAAGACAGATTCCATGCTTGTTTTGAACGTTCTCAAAAATTTGTGGAAGAGTCCGGAGCCACCTGCAACTAGTAAGTTGAAACAGCTGCATTCAATGCTGCTTTGACTTGCGGAGGACCTGAAGAAGAAGGTCACACTGCTGCGCCATTTCAAGAACTACATGATGACGGACATCTTGGAAAGGAAGGCGGGGCGAACATGCCGCGGTTGCGATGGGGTGCCTAGTCACGTCACGTCGCGTCTCAATGTGGCAAACATCCTGTTGCGAGTTGAATGCGGTTGAGATCGTTGATTACCCTTGCAAGTGTTGGACGCCTGGGTTGGCCTGGTCCCGTATGCTAAGCTGCAGCAGATAAAGACTGCCATGCCTGCGACACTCTCTGACAGTCTTCGTTCCGGCTCTATGATTCCACGAACGGGACCTCTAAGCGAGGAAGGCTACCGAGGCCACAACCCCTCGGTCCCTTGTGTTGTGCCTAAATCCTAAAGGTTCCACAAGGTTCACCTTTTGCTTATTCCAATTGTTTCTCAACTCTCAGTGCGCCCTACGACCTTCACGAATTCAAAGTTGGAGAGTGGGTGAGACTGGTGGAGCTTGACACACTTTGGGATGTTTGGGACCAGAAGGGGAAAATTGATGGGCACACGGCTCATCAGGTCAGGCTCTTCGGATCTTTTAGGTGTCTTGAGTTGGCAATGACCAGGGGTCCATACCATGGGCACTCCTGTTGATCACATTGCAGATGCTGTTTAGCTGAAATGATCTGACATTCCTGGATCTGACGTTCGTGTGTCGTGTGTTGAACCAGTATGCGCATGGACGCCTTTATATATTGCCGTTGCCACTTGGACTGTGATGCTCGTGAAGGCAAGTCCTCGCTTTCAGACCTTGAAGTCGTACCTCGCAATTGTCGTGCCGTTTGGGCACATGCTTGGCCTCGAGGCCATCGTGATGTAGCTGAGCACACAGGGTGCACCTGGCTCTTAGCATGTTCTCGGCTGTTTGGATCTTTTGAAATCCTCTGAATATTTTTGGACCCCCTGCCTGGAAGCTTCCGGCGTGCTTTGTCAAAGCTCAGACTCCCCAGGCATGTTCTTCCTGGTTGTGTTGCTTTGAAGCCGAACTTCGGGCCTTGAGCGTGTTCAATAGTTGACGGACTTCAGCAGCAGAAAACTCATGAATCTCCAGCGATTGGCAGCTTGTTGTCATTTGTCGGTGCGCTAGCAAGTTGCAGCTGCGTCCAGGATGGCGTTCGATGGGGTACATGTGGAAAGGGAATCATCGCACGTACGGTAAGGGGCAGGGCAGGTAGTCCTGCTACTTGATCATGTTAACGGATGCAGGAACACAATTCAAGCAATTCGGATTGCAGATTCTTCAGGACGGGGCATCTGCCGGGGAGTCTAGCCTCAAGCCTCCGGCAACAGCATCCAAGGCCAGGTGCTGAGCACGAGGGAACCAGTAATTAAGCCTGGTGTCTTTGCCTACCTGGCAGGCAACATATGCGCCTGGTCAAGTGCCTTTCGTGCCTTGGCAAGAGGCTGGCATGACATTCGATTCTATGCTGCCTAGGCTGGCACGTGGCGCATCTTGCGGCACCTGCGATCTGCATGTTTCCAGCTTTCGACGCACAGTCAAATCCAGCAAAGATGCAGCTGCCGTTTACCTCACAGTCAGAACAGGTATGTCCAAGATCTGCTCGAGATTGGCTCCGGGCGAGCGATCTAGCAAACAAATCTTGCTTTCCTTTACCCCAGATGAGTCTTTCAGACAGTGCGGCCACAACTCAACGCTGATCCAGTCTCAGACATTCAAAGTCTTGCCCCGCGGGGATTCCAGGCAGCTTGTTGGCTGTGACGCACTGCTATGCCGTCTACTGTAACGATGGAGAAAGATTCGTGAACAAACCCAACCCGCAAAGAGACCGAAACATAATCAGTGAACGCCGCCTGTTGGTGGCCTTGAACCTGCTGCAGCTGAATTTCTTTCTCGACTCCACTGTCTTCCCGCCTTGCCACTTGAAATCTAGTTGGTGGCGCTCGGCGTTCTTTTGGCCCGTGATTGATGCATTCTTCAGGTTCGGAGGGGCTTGTCATGATGACGTGGCTCCAGTTTTGCTCCCGAGGTCAAGAAGTGGACACGCAACAAACATGCCATCATGTTCCAGCTGAGCAACAAGACCGTTCAGGCCAGCGTGTGCAATAAACCAAGCTCTAACAGTCACTGGATGCTATCACCGGATAAGGCTCCAGTAACTTGAGCGGAAGAACCCGGTCAGGTCATTTTCTTTGACAAAACGGAGGCAGTGCTTTCATCTCGGTCACATCTTGTGACCTATGTGGACAAGAAGGGGCAGGCACAGTGACTGAACCAGACCCAGACTTCAGTTGCTGCATGTTGCTGAACCGCAGGTGCAGGCCTACCCCCTGACAAATGTCTTGGACGTGCCCAGCGCGGAGCTTGCAAAGCGGCTTCGGTACACCAAGGATGATCTATCATGTTTCAGAAAGCATCAGTTGACGCTCAAGTCCACAAAGCACATACAGTAATAGCATATGATGAGTAGTACTAAATTCCAAAAAGAGACTGATTTGCGACGCAGAGCGGCCGCCCCACCTTTCCTACAGGCGTTGATTCATGGGCAAGTCTTACCATAGAACCATGGCGAGAACCGACCTCGCGCCCAAGTGGCTGCCTTAAAGGCATGGGCAGGCCCAGATTGAACAGGACAACAGGCCTCATGCGAGGAGCGCGCCCGACGTGGATGCAAGGCTGGCAGTCGTTGCTCTTATCAACATGCGACAGGGCCCTACTGCTAGCCATAGCCGGCTGGCAACCCGGTACGAGAGGTGCCTGTAGGGTACTGAACAAGTCTAACAGATTCTAATAGTATAGTAGCTTTGACAGGACAGATGTATGATATGCTTGGTGGAATTATGACACCATTTTACACCAGACGCACAAACCCCGCGTGCAGGTCCCACTTGCACGAGGGAGAGGTGGCGGTCAACCCCCCAACCCCAAACAACCAACCCACAACAACTTCAAAGCATGATTAGCCGGTCAGACCACCGACCGAGTTCTCTCAGGGTTGGTATCTGGTGGCAAGTATGGCGCACGTATAGCTGGACATAGCTGGACAATTGTGGCGCATGCCGACCGGCCGGAGGAAGCCGAAGAGGCCCCAAGGGGCAGAAGGCAGAAAAAGATGCGCAATTACTGCTTCGGGACTGGCAGAAACTGGTGGACAGATGTACGCGCCTAGGGCCTACTGACCCAGGTATGAAAAGAAAAGTCTCTCCGGAAGGCAGAGTCATTGGTACCAGTGGCCGCCCGCTGGGCGGCAACATAGCGCCCAGGCCCCGGCAACAGGTGCCGGTGCGATTTTTTGGGAACGCCTGACTTAAATGACCACGACAAAAAGCAAGCCTTAAGGTGATGAAGCATCATCTTAACATGGCTAACAGGAAATCCGGACTGTGACAATATCTTGTTGCTCCATAGGCCTAGCCATGGGACTGCCTTTCAGAGCAGGTGTGAGGTACAAAGAACATGGGGGTAAGCAGGTCTGGGAGTGCTCTTGAGGCACCATGCAGATACAGATTGCTTCAGCCGTGCAGCTGTGGGAACCTGCAGGGGAGCCTGTTATAAGATTAACGACATGGGCTGGTGCCTTGTGCACGACCATCCTGCAAATGCATTGCATGAGGAGATGCTGGTAAAGGAAGAAGCGTGTTGAAGCCGCGAATGCCGAAGCATGCACGCGAAAGCCGACGTAAAGGCATGACACGAAGACATGAGACCAGGACCAGACAGGAGCCAGCACATCAGGACGCCTTTGGATCGAGACCTGACCGTGGACCGAACGGGAGACGGATCCGAAAGAACAATAGCAAATCATGCCAGCCCCAACGGGACAGTTGACATTTGGCCTGTGCATCCGACAGGTTCCGAAAGGATGCAGATGCGGAATCAACAGCATTTTAAGACTACTTTCGGAATCAACAGCACTTTAAGACTACTTTCATGAAGTGCCAGACCCCTCGGTTGCAGCAAAGCCCTGCGACACCGCGGGTGCGGGGTGTAACGGGAACCATTTCGACCGTAACGGAAACTCGGCTTCTGCCACTGTAACGGCAACCAACGCGACGCGTAACAGAAACCGCAGCCAGACCGTAACCGAAACCAGGCCCGCAGCCCACCCAAAACCGAAACCGCACGCGGCGTCCC